CCATCATCTTTGAAAAGTTGTTAAAATTGGGGGAGGTCTTGGATGACTGGAAGCAGGCAAATATAGTGCCCATCTTTAAGAAATGGAAAAGGAGGATCTTGGGAACTACAGACTAGTCAGCCTCACCTCAGTTCCCAGAAAAATCATGGAGCGGATCCTACAGGAGTCCATTTCTAAGCACTTGGAGGAGAAATAACTGATCAGGAACAGTCGGCATAGATTCACCAAAGGCAGTCATTGGACTCTTTGGATGCCGGAAAAGCAGTGAGCATGAGATACCTTGACTTTGAGAGGGCTTTTGATACAGTCTCCCACAACATTCTTATCAAGCAAGCTCAGGAAGTATGCACTGGATGAATGGACTGTAAGGTGAAAGCTTGCTGGATTGGTTCAACAAGGACAAGTGCAAAGTCCTGCACTTAGGATGGAAGAGTCCCATGCATTACTACAGGCTTGGGACTAAACTGGCTAACCAGCAGCTTTGCAGAAAAAGACCTGGGGGTTACAGTGGGCAATAAGCTGAATATGAGTCAACAGTGTGCTGTTGTTGCGAAGAAAACTAACAGCATTCTGGGCTGTATTATTAGGAGAGTTGTCAGCAAATCGAGGGAAGTAATTATTCTGCTCTACTCCGCACTGGTGAGACCACATCTGAAGTACTGTATCTAGTTTTGGGCCCTCCATTATAGGGAGGATGTGGACAAATTGGAGAGAGCCCAGCAGAGGGCAGCAGAAATGGTTAGGGGGCTGGGGAACATGACTTACGAGGAGAGGCTGTGGGTTTATTTAGCCTGAAAAAGAGAAGATGGCAGAGCAAGGAACAATGGTCTCCAGTTGCAGCAAGGGAAGTTTAGGTTAGATATAAGGAAAGGCTTTCTCACTAGGAGGTTGAGAAGCACTGGAAGGGTTACCTGGAGATGAGGTAGAAACTCCATACTTGGAAAGTTTTAAGACTTGGCTCGACAAAGTCCTGGCTGGAATGATCTAGTTGGGGATAGTCCTGCTTTGAGCTGAGTGTTGCACTTAAAAGGAGATTTTTAAACCTAGTGCTATAAGAATAGATACAACCAGTTGATTAATAGCAGAATACTTTAATAACAATACCATAAGCAACCTATTAAACAAAATGACTGAAGAAGACTCATTTCCAATAAAATGAGCTACTACACAAAGTGCTCGTACATATTTAGCTGCAGCAGTGTTTTCTCATCAATGCAGGTGGAGGAAGCTGGTCCAGTTTTGCAGCCTTCAGAAGCAGAAGGCTTTGCTGGTTAAGCTCCATGCGATGTTGCAGTGATCTCTCTGTTTCTCCTAGAGTGCACACCTTGCTAGCAAATCTGTTTAATTCTTATACTGTTTAAAGCATTTTTCCTTGATGGTTGGCCAAATAGAGTCTGAACAAAACAGGGAGGAAACAGGAAATACATAACATCATATTACAATTGTTAAATTGCCTGGCTCCTGTTTTTGTATTTGTCCAAGTGTGAAGACTTGTGTTTCTCACAGATACTGAGTAGCTCAGTAGTTAAATGTGATGGGCCTTGAGTGGTCAAACAGGATGCTTAGAGGCACTGGTTATCAGACTGATGTTTGGGTACTTGTTTATCAGTGGGGCAAATTTGCTTATACCCGGGATGGTCTATTTACAAAACTCTAGACATACATTGAATGATTGAGACATTTGTAACACCTTCAACATTGGATGTCTGTTTGGAGAAATGTGAGAATGTCACATACAGGCCATCTTTCCTGTATTCAATGCATCTTTTACAGGTTTTGCTTGAAATGTCTATTTAGTCTTTTTCTTTTTTAGCTGCTACTTCAATTGAAATGTATATGTAGTTTCCTTTCCTTCTTTAATTACACTGACTCAGCCTTTTTCTTTCTTGCTTTTTTAGCTATACACGTGTGATGAATGTGCCAGGTCTCTGCCAACAATTTTTATTTTACAGGAACCATCAATCTTATTATTTTATGGCATGGGTCTGAAATTGGGTGCCTCAAGCCTTACTGTCTTTACGCCTCAATAGGTTGATCTGGTTTTCTTGTGGCAGACTTTTCACCACAACCTAGTCTTGCCCCAGCCACTGTCTTTAGTGCAGGAGGGTTTCTTTAAACAATATGATGATGTGGCACAATCTAGCACAGAGAATGAAACCAGGTGGAGTTGCTCTATTTTGCATGGTCCCAGCTGCCACCTTGCATTTTTGTGCAAGATGCACTGTTATTTTAATTTGGTCATAAAGATTTTATGTGTAGACCCGGCTGAGCTGTATTGTTTTCACCATCATCGCAGAAGGTTGGACTAGATGACATCCAGAGGTTCCTTCCAACCCTAATTTTCTATGATTCTAAACATATATTTTGCTTTTCACTATGTTTGAATGAAATGCTTTATTTGTCCTGAACAAAAATGTTGGTTTCATGTTATATTTTTTTAAAAACATGAAATCATATTTAGGCAAACTTAATTTTAAATTACCCTTTTAGAACCAAAAAACCCTGAAATTTTAATCCTGAAAATTTGAAAATAAATATTTTGGCTTTTTTATATATATTTGGTAAAAATTATTCACCAAATTCAGCACAAATTTCCAAACAGTTTTGGTAAAACCCAAACACAGTTCCAATGAATAAACTATTTATCTGAACATTTTTATGGCATTCCATTTGCAACCAATAATTTGATATGCTTTTTCAACAAAAGTGACGTATTGTAGAGGATTTGTGTTAATGTCTTAGATTAACTACCATCTATTCCATTGTAAAAGGATTGCAAAGCAGGAGCACTTATTTAATTTCAAGATGGACACCGAAGCTCTTATAAAACCTCTAGTAAATAATTTATGAGATGCACTGCTTCTCTTTTCTTGTTCACTGTCCTATAATCAGTTTTATTTTCAGTTATTTTTTTGTTCTCCAAATATGTCAAAAGAGGTTAGTGTGAATGTGTTTCAGCTGTAGGACTGGTTAAGACTTCTGTGTTTAGTAGTTTGAATTCAGGTTCCTACACCATATGCTATCTTTCCATCTCCCCAGTTAGATGATGCTAGGCACATGTTATAGCTTATAGACGGTTACCTACCCTGTTTGAAAATGTAGTTGCATTATTAGATTGTTATAAAATATTCTTGACACTGTGGATGCCTCAGATGCAAATTTGACATCTGCTTATGAAAATCAAGACTTCAGTATTTAGGGATTTATAGGGTTCTTAATGGCCACAGCACAGAGTGCCAGAGAAGTGATGCCTGATTTAGGCAAGTAGAAGTTCAAAATGCTGGCTTGCATCCATAGATGCTTCTCAAGCAAATCCCGGGACATCATTCTCCCCCTGTACTCGGCCTTGGTGAGGCCACAGCTGGAGTACTGCGTCCAGTTTTGGGCTCCACAATTCAAAAAGGATGTGGAGAAGCTTGAGAGAGTCCAGAGAAGAGCCATGCGCATGATCAGAGGTCAGGAAAACAGACCTTACGATGACAGGCTGAGAGCCATGGGGCTCTTTAGCCTGGAAAAGCGCAGGCTCAGGGGTGATCTGATGGCCACCTATAAGTTTATCAGGGGTCACCACCAGAATCTGGGGGAATGTTTGTTCACCAGAGCACCCCAAGGGATGACGAGGTCGAACGGTCATAAACTACTGCAAGACCGTTTCAGGCTGGACATAAGGAAGAATTTCTTTACTGTCCGAGCCCCCAAGGTCTGGAACAGTCTGCCATCGGAGGTGGTTCAAGCACCTACTCTGAACACCTTCAAGAGCAAATTGGATGCTTATCTTGCTGGGATCCTATGACCCCAGCTGACTTCCTACCCTTTGGGCGGGGAGCTGGACTCGATCTTCTGAGGTCCCTTCCAGCCCTAATGTTTATGAAATCTATGAAATCTATGAAGTCAAAGTAGATTTGCACTTTATAGAAAAAGTGCATGTGTGTGTGTGCATGTACAGGCACATACACACATTGCAAACTCTTGTGGGCTGTAGCTTATGTCATCACATGCTGTGAAAGAATGTGTAGAAAGCAGAGTATAAGAAGAGAAATTAGAATTAAAAAATGACAGGAGGAGAACGAGTGGGGGAGGGGGAAGCAGGGAGAGATGAGCAAACAACACAGTGGTGGGAATGATGAGAAGTGTAGTGTTTGAAATAGAGTCAAAGTTATCTAGCTGTGGCTGTAGCAGATTTATATTCTCTGTGGAACAGCACAGTGGAGGAGCTATAGCACACATTCACCATAGTTTTTAAAAATACATTTATATTATGAATATCAGCAAGCTTGGGGGCCAGGTGCTTTTATGTCTTGAAGAATATGGGTATAAAAATGCTAGAACTATTCCCCTCAGTTCTACTGGGAGGTGGCTTTGATACCTTGTTCTGTATATAGCGTTTGCTACTGGAATTTGCCAAATGAAATTGCAAGGCAGTTGGATAGGAACTTGTATATTCAAGGGTAAATGAAAAAAAACTTGCTGTTAGCTTCCTACCCATTTAGAAGCAGAAGATGAGCAGTAGATGCAGCATACAAAATTAGGAAAGTTTTGGGAGAAGAAAAGTGTAAGGGGCAAAGGCAGTAAAGCTGATGGATGATGTAATAAATGGATCAGAACATAGAGGTCATTATAGAAAAATCATTGAAGCCATTAGCTCTGGCCTCATACAGACAGTCAGTTTGTGCACATATGTTCAGGCCTTTTCTTCTAGGGTAAAAATGGCCACTTCAAGAGAAAAATAACCTGGGAACAACCAATGTTAAATCACTTCTAGGAGAGTTTCTCCTGGGAGAGTAAATTTCTGGATATGCTGTGGCTTCTCTCAGAAGAGACCATAATCTTCTAGCACTGCCACCCTCCTTCCACTCCAGGAGAAAGTGTGTCACTTGCTAGACTGCAAGTTCCCCATCAGGGAACAGAATATGCCCCCTTCACAATCCCCCCTTCCCCCCCCCATTGTGCTGCAGGGAACAGCAGGCTGATTATGGGCAGTCTGGGTCAGTCAATTAGGGCTGCCTTTTGCACTACTGCCATCTGTCACCAGACAGACTAAGGGAGCTCACGGACCACACTAAGATGTATGCACATGCCCCCCTCCCCCCACACACCCACCAGCTGTACTGTGTCAGCAATGCAATCTCTCCACACTCCAGAGCCTTAACATTTGAATATCTATACATGGGGCTCTGGGAAAGTATTTCTACCAGGTAAACAAACCTGGGAGAAGTCTTCCAGAATATTTGAATGCATGTACATAGCCTCTGTATGAAAAAGAAAAGGTGGTTTATAGGTTATATTGTTAGAGGCCCAGAATTTAAAACAGGCTGATATATTTAATGGGGTTATGCACTAGTTAGAACTGCTATTGAATATTGCCAAGCAATATAGGATAATACACTCCAGGATGGATATCATCTCCGAGAAACTGTCATGTTCAGAAACAAGGATGAAACTCACTTTCAGCTCAGGGTAAAGGAAAGATTAAGGGAACTGGGCTTATTCACAGTGAACTAGAAAACATTTTGCAATGTTGAACTGGATTATCTAAATTGTAGCCAAATTAATTAAACTAATTTGTAGAGGTAAATTTGTTTACAATGGTTGTCTACAAAAAATAAATGGTAAAATAACATGAGGGAACTAGAAATACATAAAAGTCTTGGATATAACTACTTTATGCTGTAATAAATGCATAGAATACAGTCCTGATTCAGTTAAACCCATTTTAAGGAGAATTTCTAGTCCATCCTTATTTAGCAAGGTTAAGGTGCTCAAAGGGACGTTTAAAAAGTCAGGGTTGTATTTCTAAATTATTTGGGACATCCCAGCCCAAAGGCATAAAATGCCTATTCAGGAAAATAACCTTACTTATTTGCTTATGTGGTATGTGCTTTTCTGAACAAGAGCCTAATGCATGTAATGTCAGTGAGAGATTGATTTCAATAGCATTTTAGGGCCTGCTTAAATTTAAATGTACACATAACTCCTTTGTTGAAATGGGGTCTAAATCAAAGATGAAAAACAAATCCAAAACATTTAGAATTTATTTCAGGATTAGAAAATTGAGGCATGGATAAACAAGATTATGAAAAACAGTCATGATACAGAAATATGCTGATTTCAGAATATAGAAATTTTTGTCTGTTTTCTGTCATATGGCAGCTATAAAAAAAAATTTCAGTGTATTTGAGATAGGAAATATAAAACTCATAACTAAAAATAGGAAATATAACACTCATAGCTAAAATATATGTGAAGTAAATCTTGGAAAATAGATCTCTTAACATAGAGATAAATAGGAAGATGAATAAATATGGAGATATGCCCTAGTGGTTTTGCCAGGAACTCTGGCAAAAATCTCCATAAAATAAAGTGTTGACTGCTTTTTTATCATACATTATTTGTCCACATCATGACATGCTAACTTCCCTCAAAGATTAAGCATTAACAACTCATGAAAATGTGATGTGAGGTCAATCAAAACATATCTCTGGCTTCTAACAAATCTTCAAGGTTTAATGACTGACTGAAATTGACAATGTTCCAGTAAAGCAGATGGATCAGTCTTTCCTACAGCATAAGTTGTTGTTTTCAGACTCTTTCTCACACATGAGGGTGTTTCTCTCTCGCTCTCTCTTTTTTATCCCCTCCAGATGTTCCCAGAAAAGAGAAATTAAAAAGAAAAAGAAAATACCTCAATTTCTTGTCTAGGTTATCCACCAATAGGAGGCCTCAGATTGGTAATCAGATTTAGACCCTTTTACCCTCTGAGTTGATGCTTCATATCTAGCCCTGTAGCTGTAATTTCTGATGGCTCTTCAATGACCTATGGGAAATTATTTTAACACTCTCAGTATGGCTGCTGATGAGTCATCCCCAAACCCATCATACCTGGCTCTTATTTATTGTTGGTAATCTTTGTTAAGTAAAGAAGGGGATGAAGAATGACACACTCATTCAAGAGGCCAAAGTCAGTGTTGGGGCACACTGGCTGGCAATGTAAAATGAAAAGCATACACCTGTCATTAATTCTGTTATATTTAATGTATTAAATGGTGAATGTCAGTCTCCAGTCAATTCAGTATGTTTGAGGTATTTTCAGTTTAACTAAAATCAATAACAAAGAATATTTTAGGGAAGCACATGAGGAATGTATTTGTAGCAGATGAGAATGCTTCTCTCTTGTGGCAACCTTTGGGTCACTCTTACATCTCTGTCTCACTGGACCCACCCTAGAACTACAGCTCACAGCTAGTTCCTTACTTGCCTTGCTCAGCTACTGGTGTACTTGCTAAGAACCAGAAAAGTTCTTGATAATAGGACTCCTCTGTGGTGGACCATAATGCTCTACAAGGTAGAGAAAGCCTCTGTCTTACGGAACAACAAACCGTGCTTCCTGGGAAATGTTAAATGTGCCTTTGTTGTCTCCTTAATTGCTGAGAATATTTCAGTTTTGATAATAGCACATCCTGGACATTACTGTTGGTCTGAAATATGTGCACATCATTTATTTTTCTTTTCATAAGCGTGGCAGTCCTGATTCTGATCTTGTATGTGGCATTGACTGCAGGAGAATTAATTCTGCATTATACAATATAAGATCAGACTGATGCTAGGGACAGACATTATACATAAAACAGTTTAAGTGATCAGAAACTGGTTTAAACAGACATTCAGTGCACATAAACCAGTTTCAAAATGGCTGAAACTGTTTTAAGATAAACCTGGTTGAATGTAGTATCAGACTTAATGGAATTGGGTCAAACTAGTTTATGTAATGTCTATCCCAGACCTCTTCCTGGTTTAAATTAAACCAGAGTCCCCTGCATCCCAGATGCTTTGCAGTGTTGGGCTGGGCTGGGCTGGGCTGGGCTGGGCTGGGCTGTACTGTCTGCACCACAGCAGGGTGTACCCCTCAGCTGCCTAGCCAGAGCTCTGACAGGGACTGAAGACACTGAAGAGTCTGCCTGGCTTCCCCTTGCCACTCGCTACTCAAGCAGGGATACCCCTCTCCCTCCCTCCCATCTCCCATGGCATGGGCCCCAGCCCCATGGACCCTAGCTGGCATGTGGTATTCTAGCTAATGCTGAGAGGTATATGTGTGTGTGTCTCCAATTTCACTGGGGCAGATAGACAGAACAGTGTCTGCTTAGGGCTTTTTGGAGCTAATCAACAAGTCATCTGGTAATATCTCTCCCTTCCTTCCTTGGAAAAAAAACTGTTTACGAAGACCTTGAACTAATGAGAGAGGCTTTTGTTTTCTTGATGGGCTGTTAAACGCTGTGTTATCAGCCCCCTGCTGGCTCCCTTGCCTGTCAGGTTTGCTGAAGATAGTATGAAGAAGCAGGGAGAGGGAAATTGAAAAGCTCAGAATTATCAACAGATGCATGCACTGCACCCCTTCTCCACTTCGTCTTAGACTGCTAGCCAGGGGCTGGGGGCTGGCAAAACTCCCACCCCTTGAGCAGCGAGTGGGGAAAATCTTGGGATGGTGCAGGCAGGGTGGGGCTGGGTCTTCTAGCCTGAGCCACTGCAGGCATATGCCTGCATTTCCTCAGTCCAGAGGGAATGTCTGTGCAGTTGCAAACTGGTTCAATCTAGGCAGGTTAGAACAACCTGCAAATGTTGAATCAATTCAGGCTCAGGCTTTTTGAATGTCTATCCCTAGCCTGAGAGTCTTAAATACTCTCGTATCACAGCTGAGATTTCTCTGGGACATTTTTCTTAGCCTTCTCTCAAGAAGCTGATCTCTAAAACAGCAGAGGTTATGATGAGTCAATAAAGGTGAGCTGTTCTTTTCTATCTGATGAAGTCATGATGTTGCATCTACCAAAAGAGACTGTAAAGCTCACATCAAATTTATGATGGTCAGAGCCTGTTATCTCTGGCTATGAGAATTCTGAAGTTCATCTAATGGAAGCTGCTGCTTTTGAAAATATGTCAAATTTCTAAAAGCCAAGTGTTTTCTAAACTGTTGCAGATTAGCCCTTTTCAAGGGAATCTGTGCCTTGGAACTCCCCTCACAGATTCTTGACTGGAGCAATCCTGGCATGGCTCCTTGAGGGATAAGCCTCTGGCTTCTAGACCTTGGCTCTTCTTTTTTCATGGCCTCCTTGGCTATCTGTAGCAAACTCACCTCTTTCTTTGCTCAGCTCCCAGAAAAGGGGCTTACCTTTTCAAAGCAGGGGAGGGGAGGGTCAGGATGCTGATGTCCCAAACAGTACAGCAGACTGCTCTTCTTCAAACAAAGTCTTTATTCTGCAACTGCAGTTCTCCCTCTCCTGCCTTAAACTCCTGCTTTCTTTCCCTCCAGCTCCCTCAGAGACTTTTTTCTTCACTTCTGGCGCAGTATGACACATTAACACAAACTGTAGCAAAACTGTAGTAGTTTACCCAGGGACTAGCCCTGACATAATAAATGACCAGTTACTAATCAGTCTCTGTAGTCGGCTGCTAGGCTCAGACTATTATCTTCCCCTGGAATGAAAAGGGCATCTAGATGCCCTCATATAAGACTACCTACTGCAACAGGTGCTCATGCTAAGCCCTCCAAAGTGTTCCCCAGAAGGACTCTGGGCCAGAACTCAATCCAATTAGCCTCCTTGGTCACATAAACATGTTTTCTGAGGTTTAGTGATTAGCATATGTGAAGTTGAGTGATTAGCAAAATGTTAGGCATATTTTAGTCCTCACACTGAAGGAGTTGAAATTTAAGTAGCTGCTGAATGTAATAAGGGACAGTATATAGTGCAGTGGGCATGCCTAAACCTATTTCAGTTTTTCCTTAACTTAGTACATCTGTAACTTTTGTCAGAGCCTTCAAAGTATTCACTATATTTAGAGGGTTTTCTGGCATGTGCATGGCCTTTCTTATTGCACTACTGGTGGATTCTACACATTCCATTTCATGTGGCTGGCCCAAGATGGATCACCCAAGTGTCCAGTTAACCTGTTGACAAGTCAGCCTGCTAAAATGGGATTCAGGCCTAAATAATTTTAAAGATTTCTGAATGTAAATGACCTA